CAGCTCCAGGTTGAGCTGTTGTTCACCATCTTAGCTGTAGAGGGCAGTGTCACTGGCCCTCATGTGGGATCCGAACCGGGGCCCTGCTGCTCAGAACTGGCGTCCCAAGCCAGCTCTTAACCAACGTGCCACTCGGCTAGCCCCTCCATATAACTTTTAAAATCAGTGTGTTGATATCTACAAAATAACTTGGTGGGATTTTGATTTGGGTTGCATTGAATCTACAGAACAAATTGGAAAGAACTGACATCTTGGAAATATTGAATTTTCCTATTCATGAACATGCAATATCTCTCAATTTATTATATTTAGTTCCTTGATTTCATTCATTACACCTTTGCAGTTTTCCTCACGTATATCTTATACATATGTTCATTTTATGCCTAAGTGTTTCATTCTTGGAGGTGCTAATGTAAATGATGTTGTGTTTTTTATTTCAAATTACTCTTGCTTATTACTAGTCTATAGGAAAGCAGTTGACTTTTGTACATTAACCTTGTATCCTGCAACAATGCTATATTCATTTATTAGTTCCTGGAGTTTTTTTGTTGATCCTTTCAGGTTTTCTACATAGACAATTGTGTCATCTGTAAAGACAGTTTTACTTATTCCTCTCCAATCTGTATATTTTTTATTTCCTCACTTGTCTAATTGTATTTCAATGACTTCCAGTATAATGTTGAAAAGCGGTGGTGAGATGGGACATCCTTGTTATGCCTCAGCTTAGTGAGAAAGTTTCAAGTTTCACATAATAAAGTAGGTTAAGTGTTGGCTTTTTGTAGATATTCTTTATCAAGTTGAAGAAGTTCTCTTTTATTCCTGGTTTAACTGGATTTTTAAAAAGATTTTTGTTATAATATGGCTAACATACAGTATTATATTAGTAGATTAGATGAAACAGAGGATTAAATCAGTGATTTAAGACCTAAGGTAGCAGAAAACGCCCAATCAGAACAGCAAAAAGAAAAAGAAATAATACAAAAAAATTAGGGTTTAGGGGGCCTCTGGGACAACATCAAGCGTACCAACAATCACATTATGGGGGTAACAGAAGGAGAAGAGGGAGAGCAAGGGATTGAAAACCTATTTAAAGAAATAATGACCAAAAAGTTCTCTAACCTGGCAAAGGAAATAGATCTACAAGCTCAGGAAGCTCAGAGAGTCCCAAACAAGATGAACTAAAAGAGTCCCACACCAAGACACAACATAAGTGAAATGCCAAAGTTAAAGACAAAGAGAGAATCTTAAAAGCTGTAATACAAAATCATTAATTACCTACAAGGGAGCTCCCATAAGACTGTCAGCTGATTTCTCAACAAAAACTTTGCAGACCACAAGGGATTGTACAAAATATTCCAAGTGATGAAAAGTAAGGACCTACAACCAAGATTACTCTACCAGGCAAAGCTGTCATTTAGAATTGAAGGACAGATGAAGAGCTTCCCAAACAAGAAAAAGCTAAAGGAGTTCCTCACCACCAATGTGTCTAACCACTATGCTGTACACCTGAAATTAATATAAAATAATATTAAATGTCAACTGTAATTGAAAACTTAAAAATGGGGGAAAAGTGAAGGGGAGTAAGAGGTTCAAAGTTTCAGGTATAAAACAAATAATTCTTAGGGATGTAATTACACAGCATAGGGAATGTAATCAATAATATTGTGAAAGCATGGTACGGTGTCAGATGGTTGCTGAACTTCTCATGGTGATCACTTCTTTAGCATAGAGAATATAATCAATAATATGGTCATAAGTATGTATAGTGCCAGGTGGGTGCTGTTGAATAACTATGATGTACACCTGAAATTAATATATTGTAGGTTAGCTATATTTTAATAAAAACCTTAAAAAACTGAAAAAAAGGTAATAAAATACAATATACAATGTAGGCTGTTTTTTTTAAACAGTGTCAATAAACTTAAGAGTACAGTAAGTCCAAGATGTGTGTTCCTTTTCAAAGTTAAAACTCAAGGAAGGAAGACTACCCTCCTCATGAATAAAGTTAGCCTTAGACAGGGCACACAAAATCAGTTGCCCTGACTTTATGGGCACTAATTGTCGTTCATATGCGGCTCACTACAAAAATAGGGATAAGTTCCATCAGCCAGCACAACTTTGTGGAATAGGAGTCATTCTTCACAGTAATAAGGAGGGAATTGCTCAAGGGATGCAAAAGGAAATAAATGGAAGTATACTAACTGTTCTAGAATGTTGATGGTGAAATGAGAGAACCCGAATGTAGCTCTGGGAACAGTGTGCGCATAGGAAGAATTCTTCTCTTATTAAATTCTAACAAAATTTAAGACAGAAGGGAATAATTCAGTAGAGCTGGAGAGGCTGAACATTTTAAAGAAGGGGAACCCCCTTTAGAGCAAGAGTTCTTCACAAAATGTGAAATAGCTTGTTCCAAAACATAGAGGAAGAGGGAGCACTTCTCCCTCTCAGAATTGCAGCAAGGATAAAATCAGAAGACATAAAGAAATAGATGTTGAGAAATAGAGGCAGAGAGCTGTGCTGTACATCCCATCCCATGAATATATATATATATATATATATATATATATATATATATATATATAACTATAATTGACATTCAGTATTATTTAGCTTCAGCAAGAGTCAGGCATCTACACAGTCCATGAAGTGGTCTCCTTAATAAGACAAGTGCCCATCTGACTCCCTACAAAATCTTTACAGCATTATTGATTATATTCCCCAAACTGTATTTCATATCCCTGTGGCTATATTGTGACTAATGATTAGTATTTTCTAATCCCTTTACCTTCTCCCCCATCCCCACCCCCCACCATCTAGCAACTCTGTTTTTGTTTTTTCCCTATATCTTTGAGTCTATTTCTGTTTTGTTTGTTTGTTTATCCATTCTTTAGATTACACATATAAGTGAGATCATATGGTATTTGTCTTTCTCTGTCTGACATTTCATTTAGCGTATTCTGTAGGTCCATCCATGTCATTGCAGATAGTAATATTTCATTCTTCTTTATGGTCGAGTAATACTTCATTGTATAAATATACCACAGTTTCTTTACCCAATCATCTATCAATGGGCATTTCAGATAGAGAGCCCAGAAATAAATCCATGCCTTTATGGTCATATAATCTATGATATTGGAAGCAAGAGTTTATGTTGGAGTAAAGACAGTCTACTTAATAAATGGTGCTGGGAAAATTGGACAGACACATGCAAAAAAATGAAGCTGGACCACCTTATTCTTATAGAAGAATAAATCCAAAATGGATTAAAGACTTAAATGTATGACCCAAAACCATAAAACTCCTAGAAGAAAATATAGGAAGTAAATTTGTAGACATTACCCTTAGTATATTTTTACTGATATATCCCCTTGGGCAAGGGAAGTAAAAGAAAAAATAAACGTGGGATTACATCAAACTAAAAAGTTTTTCCACCACAGAGAAAACCATCAATAAAACAAAAAGGTGTCCTACTGAATGGGAGAAGATATTTGCAAACGATACATCTGATAAGGGGTTACTATCCAAAATTTATAAAAAACTCATACAACTCAACACTAAAAAAACAAACAACCCAATTAGAAAAATGGGCAGAAGACATGAAAAGACATTTCTGTAAAGAGGACATGTGGATGGCCAACAGACATATGAAAAAATGCTCAACATCACTAATTATTAGAGGAATACAAATAAAAACCACAATGAGATATCACCTCACTCATGTCAGAATGGCTACCATCAATAAATCAACAACAAGTGCTGGTGAAGATGTGGAGAAAAGGGAACCCTTGTGCACTGTTGGTGGGATTGCAGATTGGTGCAGCCACTGTAGAAAGCTGTATGGAGGTACCTCAAAAAATTGAAAATGAAACTACCTTTTGACCGAGCAACTCCACTTCTGGGTATCCAAGAAGGTGTCTTTAAATGTCATCTCCTCTCAGTAGCTGTCTTGGACCCCAAATCCTCTCCCAAGGCAGAATTATTTTTTCATCTGTATTTCATATTTCTTTATATAAATATCAACTGTTGCACTTAGAAAATTATATTGTTCTCATTTATATTTTTGTTTCCACAAGTGGACTTGAATTTCTTGAGATCAGATATTGGGTCATAAAATTTTAATGCCCCAATACCTGACACATAGGATGTATACCATCAGTTTTAGTTGAATATATTTGAACTTTCCCTTTATGTAATCCAAAGTGAAAGACCATAGGTAAGAAGTGTTCTTTGGCACAAGCAAAATAGCATCATTTAATAGTAACAGGTTTTTTTTTTCCATGTAATAGTATAGTTACAATATAGCATTGATTAATCTAAATACTGGTAGAATCACGGAATTTCAATGGGAAGAATTATTTTAGAAGAGATTCCGTTGATTGCAAATGAGGAAACCAGTCCTGTGCTTATGAGAGACTACTCAAGTAGCTTTGACCAAAATCCTATCCAATACCCCAAAACCTTTTGCATTCATGAATATTAAACCATCTTTACATTCTTGGCAAAGACATTCTGGAAGAGAATGAAACGTGCAATGCACTTTAGTTCAGAAGGAGTCCCATTAAGGAATTCTAACCTGAGTTCAGAATATTGAGGTGGGGGAAAAGCCAAGCTATGTGATGACAGGGGATTGGTAAGTTCAAGGAGGATTTTAAATACAAATGAAGTGCTTTTCATAGTTTCTTCTTTTCTTTTCTTGCTGAGGCAATGGGAACTATCACGGCCATCAGAAGAAGAGTAGAGTACATATTGATGAATTTCTTTCCTCCAGGTTTAATTGAGACTCTTTTTCACTTTAATAGGTTTCAGAACCTGCTGTGGTCCAGAAAGACATTTGTGGACAACATGAAAATCTATAACCACAGTTACATCTACATGCCTGCGTTTTCTATGAAGACAGGAACAGAGCCATCCCTCCGAGTTTATTATACACTGTCAGATGTCGGTGCCAATCAAACAGTGCTCTTTGCGAACCCCAACTTTCTGCGTAGCATTGGAAAGTTCTGGAAAACTAGGGGAATTCATGCCAAACGCCTGTCCACAGGACTCTTCCTGGTGAGCGCGGCCCTGGGCCTCTGTGAGGAGGTGGCCATCTTTGGCTTCTGGCCCTTCTCTGTGAATATGCACGAGCAGCCCATCAGCCACCACTATTATGATAACGTCTTGCCCTTTTCTGGCTTCCACGCCATGCCAGAGGAATTTCTCCAACTCTGGTATCTTCATAAAATTGGTGCACTGAGAATGCAGCTAGACCCGTGTGAAGACACCTCACTCCAGCCCACTTCCTAGGGACAGTGGATAAAGAAGGAACTAAGCCAGGGTATTTTTGTTAGGTTTTCTACATGACTGCAAAAGGAAATGTTCAAGTCATTTCATGGGTTTGTCTGGGACGCTTGGAAACCACAACCCAAGGGAAAGTCTACTTGGAATTTTAGCTTGGAGGACAAATGGGACTGGAAACATTCCATGAAATGTTTTATAGCACATTGTGTATTTGCAATGAGTAGCATTTTGATGAAATGATTTTGGTAAAGCACATTTACATGGTTTAAACCTAGAAGGTGCAGTTCACAAACAAGATGGAACTCTAGTTTTTGAGGCTGAAGAGTTAAGGTAAAATAAAGGAAATGCCAGGGCAAACGTGTTACTGATTATCAATATAAACAGGCTTAATTTAAAAAAACCTATTTATGAAGACTGATATTAGAATCATAGGTTTTTTAAAAAGTATTTATTTTTGCCCTATTTAGGGACAGTGAGTGGGTAATGGGGTAGATTTTAAAAATTCCCTTATGGAGTAATAAGGATTCAAAACACTGCAGATGATATTGTGATTTGTTGAACCAAGTCTGTGTTAACTATAGTCCCCGTCCATTTAAAAAGTGTTAAATAAGAATTGCTTCCTCCCCATTTGTCAAGTCTACTTAGACAATGTAAAGCATTGTTGATTATAGACTGTGTTGATTCATAGTCTGGATAACACAAACCACTTTCCCTCCTCCTCAGAATTAAGGGCATAAATTCAATTTTAGGTCTGCATTGTATCAGCCTGTTTGCATTATTATTATTTTAGTGCACAAAGACTATAAATATGAGTACATTATTTATTTGCAAATTATTTACATGATTGTCTTCATAATTTCATGTTCAGAGATAAAGCAAAGCACAATGATGTAAAGCTTAGTCTCTGGACTGGACGACTCATCCCTTGTCTATCTACCATGGTATATTCACTCGAAGGTATATATGCATGCACACCTACAAACATGCATATATTCATACATATTCATGTACACACACATACACACACACTTAAAGTTCATTCCCATGCAACTCTGAAAGCTGAACCCACGTGACCTGGTATTTCAAAAATCTGTAACCAGTGTTGGAGAGGTAGACATGTATTATGTGCTACCCACTACACTTTGATATAAGACATACCAGCTTACTGGTTGCTGCTCGTAATGCTCATACCAGCATGACATGTAAGCCTTACCCCCAAAACGCTTACCCAAAATGAGCAGAATTGTGTTAGTCATTCTGACTAAATCACACAAATGGACCCTGCGTTGAGCATGGTCACACAAGGCCGGTCCATACAAGTAAAGGGATATGAATTAGCAGCTATCTATTGTCTTAGGAGCAGTTAGGACTACTTAGAAAGCCACTCTACTGACAGGCTACAAGCAGCCAGATGTGTTTACATATAAGAGAAAAGTAAAGGAAGCTTTTCATTGTGTCTGTGCTTTGGGAATGCCTTAATCTAAAAGGAGACACTAGAAATCACTATCTTTATTTTTTTTAAGTATTACCAAAATTTAGGTAAACTGTGCCAAAAAGTTGTTTCATTTTTAATGGTAGAAAATTAGTACACAATATAGATTAAAACTGGTGGCAGTTTTTTACCGGTTACTTTAAAAGCTATGAAGGTAACAATGCCCTTGGAAAAAACCTACACCATCAGAATAGGCAATTTCTAAATAAGGTTGAATATTGAGGTTATTGTAGAAATCAGCAGTTGAAATATGACTGGTTGACATAACACACATTATATTGATACTTAGAAAGTTAAGAATTTGAGTATTGATTATATGCAGAACTGGTTCACTATTTTTATCCTATATGGCAGCAAAAATGTAATGAGAATGTACTATTGAGTGAGCTGTGTTAAATATTCACTATATGTGCAATCTTGAATATACTTCCTCTTTTGAGCTATTGTTATTTAATAATTACCTTAAAAAGGAATACATTTTTACCTATACACATCATCAAAAATATAAAAGGACTAACGAAAAACAAATACAAATGTTAATAGAATATGTGTCACTCAAATTAGTGCTTTAATTGTTAAAATTGTTACAGTGTCATTAATGAGCTCCATAAAGCCCATGCATCACAATTCCATTGAAAATACTATCTAGAAATGTTACATCTTGTTATGATTCCTCAGATAGATTTGTGCAATAGATTTGTATAACGGCTCAGTCTATAAATTTGTGGCTTCTGATATGCAAAACAGAAATATCCCAAACTGATAGTGTTTAATTACACCCGTGCTTCTCACCTGGGGTGATTTTCTCCCCCATCTGGTGACATTTGGCAATGTCTGGAAACAAATGTGATTGTCATGATTTGGAGGGTGCTACTGGCATCTAGACAGGGGTCCTGCCAAATATCCACAAGGCACAGGTCAGGTCAGATCCCCCATAGCAAAGTATTACCCAGTCTAAAATGTCAATAATGCCAAAGCTGAGAAACCCCAGATTAGACTAAAGGGATATTTTGATTGTTCCATATTGTCTTCACTTAAGGATATACATACTTGCTGATGTCATTCAAAGTATGACTCCAATTTAATGAGAATATTTTCTTAGAGTAGATTACAGTTTGCCATTACTTTACAGTGACAACTCATAGTTATACCACACCTATTTCCTTTCCTGTGGTTAGATAGATTTATCTAAACCTAGGGTTGTGAGTGTCTGTGCTTATGTGTGTGTGTGTGTGTGTGTGTGCATGTGTGTAGAATAACATGCATCTCTATCCTTACTAAAAATACATGTGTCCCTAAGTGAGGCTCTCTCTAGAGTTATCTTGCAGAGTACTCTGGTATACTCTATTACTATTAAGAAATCGAATTCTAAACTTTCATTATTTTATTTTGTTTTTCTGAAAAGGAGGCCTTTGGAATTGTGCCTCATACTTTGTCAAATTTGGTCAATGACATTTTCATATTACTGACCCTTAAGATTCAGCTCAGTGATATTCAGGTTATGGTAGACATGCAGTAAGAAATAGTTCATCACTTTCGATGCATCTGCCAAGAGAGGACATAACCCTCTAACATTAGTCTAATTTTTAAAGTGATTTTAGTGACAAAAATTAGGTTGCTCAACAGGAGCAATAGAGGAGGTGATGGGACTGAAAATGAGGACCTGATGAGACTTTGTGTTAGCTGTATTAGCTCGCATTTGAGAACTGTATTGATGCTAAGGGTCATGAATGAGGATGAGCTCTCTCATTTTAATTACACTTCAGTAAAATTAAGATAGGTGAAGGATTAAGTCATTCCATAAGAAAGGAAAACAATTTTTCACATGAAAAGTTTTCATATGGAAGAAGACTTTAGACACATAAGCTTTATATACAGAGTATTTGACCATCAGCTTATATAATGTTGTGCATCTAAACTGCAATTAATTCGAGAAGTTTAGGATTACTTCCTGGATTTTGTTTCTGTTCAGTTCACTTTTAGCTATTTCAACAAAGGTAAATGATCCAAAATGGCAGCTGTTTTGACAATACTCTGTGTTGGGCTTTGTGAGATCTCATGCCCTTTTCTTGGCTAAAAACTTTGTTTAAGTTAAATATAAATTGTACCTGGAGCAATTGAGAACATGGCTTAAAAATCTACTTGGAATATAATTGAAGGAACTCTAGGATTTTAAATTTGCCAAAAATATTCTTAGATCAATCAAAAGCTTTACAGTACTATTATAGATGATTCCAAATGGAAAAGATATCAGTGACATTTCTTCTTGTCAGCAACCATAGTAGTTATATACTTTATTATATAAATCTCTCATTTCTTTGTTTGGAAAGTCAGTCAGCTATAGCTTTAATTTTCATGTTTGAAAATGTTAACATTGTGAAACTTTTAACTGACTAATCCTTATGAGGAGGGACCTAAGAGGAAGAAACATCATAGTCTACTGAAAACTTCAGTAGATTCTTATTGTGTTTTATGAAATCTTTCTCACTAGAACCAGGTAATATCTGTTCTATGTTTGCAGGGTTCCAAATACCAAAGCTATAAGGACTTTTGTGGGAACTTGGGAACAGGTATGTGAAGAAATAAGGACTGAAAGCAACACTGTGTTTTGTGTTTTTTCATCTTCCCAATGTAGAGGTTGACACTCTGATTATATGACTGTTGGTGGGTACACATCAGGGCTGGAATTGAGTAAACAACTCCAGGTACCTACAACTTAAATCATGCTTCTAAAGAAGTCAGCAGTAACTATTAACTAAACATGACTAGTAATTTGGGCAACTTCAGTTCTCTGTGCGCTAGGGAGAGGATTAGGCAAATGGAAAGGAGAAGATAACCCGACTCTTACGCATAGGATCAGAGAAGTCTCTGCCCTTGACCTTGGTTTTCCATCACTTTTTATCTCTGTCCAATACCATGGAAACTGACCTCATTCTGGGGCTGAGCTAGTAGCCTTGTGACTAGAGAGCTGGTGTGGGAATTTGCTGAGAAGCTTAAAATTTTACATTGCCTTAAACAGGGTTTTTTATTGTTGATTTTTTTTTCTTGTGCTCTCTAAATTTGGGTGTCTTGTGACAGAGTTCTGGTCACCCTAACCTAATTATGGCCCCGCCATTGATTATTAAAAGTGGAGCTTCCTCCCTACCCCTCCCCCCCCCCGATTCAGATGGATTTTCTGACTTTGAAGGTAGGGAGATAGCACATATTCCACCAGTTTCTATAGAGCCTCTTTGAAAGCCCTGGAGATGAACCCAAAGGAACCCCAAATCCTAGAGTGTCTGTGTATAAGCTCCTAAATGTGAGGCCATAATATTTATTAATACGTTGAGCGTGTGGAAGGAAACATACATATATGAATCTACAATTGCCATAGCCTTTTTTCTTCCTATCATAAGAAAATGGATACTATTGGTGTTACCTTCAGCCTAGTCTTGTCTTTTGAATTTTTTTTACATACACCTCAGAGATGAGAGACTGAAGCAAATGCATGAATGGGAAGCTCATTCAAATACAACAAAACCTCTGCTTGTCATTGCAATAAGAAAAAAAAATATATGTGGTTCTGTTTCCTTCTAGTTTTCTTCTGGTGCCAGCATTTCTGATTTCTTCTATCTCTAACAAATAAGGAATAAATAACTTATAAATTGGCTTCTAATACCTGTGAGCATTTGTGTGATAGCCAAAGCCCATAACTATTACTTTTTTAAAACATAAAAAAGGAATTATATTTTGTTTATGGCCACTCATTTACTACCTCCTCTGTGTTCTTGTTCATCTATACACATTGTTCTGAACTTCTTTCTGATTTTGCTTTCCTGTGAAACTGTGGGATATCAATGTTGCAAAGTTGTGTAGGCGTTTCAGAGAAAATACCCGCATGTATCGATCATGTCTCTTTCTGCTTCGATGGTAGATTTTCTCCAGATATTTGTCATTGTAAAAGTGTATGCTTCACATGATACCAGTAAACACCTACAGATGTGGTTTTATCTAGGGCAGAGAAAATCAGGAGTCAAATATGTCTGTTTTTCTCTGCACAGTAAGAGAAAGGAAGAATTGTAGTATATAAAAAAAAAAGGGTTTAACCAAAAAGAAAAAAAAAAGAAAAAGATAAACATCAGGGTTTTAATTGTGAAGGACCATTGGGAGGGATCTGAGAAGGTAGCTAAGCAGAGAGCACACAGTGCAGTCCCCAAAATAGAACCTTTGCAAACATTTTAAAGGAAATATAGTGTCATGCTGTTGTTATGACTAACGATGAGAGATGCTGGAGGAAGCAGTGTGAGAGCCAGATTGTGAGCCAATTAGGGAGGAAAACAGAAGAGGGGCATCCGTTCACCTACCATGAACCCCCGCCCCCCGGTCTAAATGCTTCTCCCCTTCCTGCCCCTCCACAAGTTGTGATCTTGGTATTTGAACCTGAGTATGCAAATACTCCTATTTTCATATCCCCTTTTCATTTCCATTTTGACTCATACTTCCAAAACAAGATTATCTAGATCTCCTGTCATTATGAGGCAGCAGTAGTAAGAAGTGTCACCTTGAACTTGACCCTTTGAAACATGGTCACCTTATGCTATGCATAGTGAGAATTTAAAAGCTTTAGTCCCCTGCTCCCACAATTACTTCAGTAAGAGGCTTTTATATTAATTATGATGTAAGCAGAATTAGATGCATTTCCTCTCCTATATTCTAGCGCGCGCGCACACACACACACACACACACACACACACACACACACACACACACACACACACACACTTTGCGTTATTTATGCCCATTGAAAAGAGAAAGATGACTGACCTGGTAGGGGGTGGCAGAGGGTGCCTTAACTTTTTCTGGCTTGGCTCCCAGTTTCTTATCTATTTCCTTCATGTATCCGGGTCACTTTAGAGGTGTAACCATGTCTGTTCCAAGTTGTATCTTTACCATCAGCAAGAACTCTTATAAATGTAGTGAATGTGACTATTTTATATAAATGCACAATAGCATATAGGCCTTGGAGACATCTGATAATAGTATGTAAATATCCCTTGTTGAAGTAGTAGAACCTTCTCAGAAGGAACACCTTAGGTGATAGCTGCAAGAGGGTGCGTAGGCTAAGAATGTTTTCTCCTGTGAATTCTAGCATTCATGGAAGCAAAGAATCAATTTGCTTCTGTTTCTCCTTCATTCTTAAGCGCCAATCCCTTGGGCTTTCTTGTTGGTAGATCCCTTCATAATATACAGGATTCACAATTTGGAGTGATTGATAGCCACTCGGGTACATCAGAGGCACTAGAATGAAGACTGCGAGAACAGACAAGGATAGCTCCATTACAAAGATTGCCTCATTTTTAAAAAGTCTGGAATATTTCTAGAACTCTAGTTACCATACAGCATAGTTGGTCGGAAAAGCATTGGTAAAGAAAGTTTCTCTTTGATCTCTGATATGATTAATGCACATTATATATTATTCTGCAGATCGTGCAAGCTGTTTTTCAAGAGCAAATTTGCAGAGTCTGGAGGTAAGAGAAAAATAGAAAAAAATCAAATATTCTTCTTTCTCAGTGTAGTCTGACTACCAGTCCATGGTACAATAATTCTGGAACAGATTTTAGATTATACTATTAAATGAAATCACCTTTGAAGTGTACATGGGAATACTTCTTCCTAATAAAGCCACATTCCACTGGCAGGAGGTGTGGGGAAAATCAGTGTTCTTTATTTTTCTTTTATTTTTTGTTGTTTAAAAAAGAGTTTCAAGTAAAATGGAGCAGGTAAGAAAAACCTTAATTGGTACTTTTGACAGTGTGACTTGAAAGATCAGTACCTATCTCTTGGTTCTGCTGAGTCATTTCTTGCCACAGAATCTAAAGGTGATGTCATAGGAGGAGGTTTGCTGTAAAAACATGTCTTTTTCTTTGGTGTGTTCATTGTAATTATGGCTGGTAGTGAGAAGGTTCAGTGAGTCTCAATTTCTCTACCTCCCTTACTTGGAGAAAATTTGGAAATGTACCCTGTGAATAAAATGATTTTTTAAATAGCTTGTGAAGTCTTTTTATTTCCCAGAAGCCTATGGGTAATCTTATTCCCTTTTCTATTCCTCCTTTATTTTGTATCGATGTCAGCTACACTGATATTTTTTTTCTTCTTCTTCTGGATGAAAACTCATGCTGCTTAGTGAGAAAATTACTTTAGAAATACAGAATTACAAATTCTATAAATAGACTATAAGAACACCAGTGGTACCTTTTATGTATGTGAAAGGAACTATCTATTGGGCAAAGTAAAATAGAAAGAAAATTGGACATTTATTTGGTATGACATATGTACATGAGTCTTTTCCAGCGATAAAATGTTTCCTTTATGTAATGAGTCAATGTCAGTAAGTGTGTCCCGGAGATAATTTAATAAACCCCTAACAAGATTAAAAACATTTAGATTTTGCTTCTGTTCGTATGGGTGACTTCGACAAGCCCAAGTGTGCTTTCTGGTCTGAATTATTGAAATAGTTGCTTCGAATTCCCATTTCCCTTGGGCTCTGTTGGCCCAGTTCTGCCAAATGTTTCTCAGAGGGAGAGACATCAGGA